TGTGTGTGTGTGTGTGTGTGTCTGTGTGTGTGTGTGTGTGTGTGAAGTCTAAAGAAAAGCTGAAACAATGAAATAACATATTGGGTGGCATGGTGACTCATTTGGTAGAGCTGTTGCTTCTCAGTGAGAAGGTTGCTTGTTCAAATCCCAGCCTTTCTGAGTGGCATTTACATATTTTCTCCAGGTACTCCAGTTTCCTCCCACAGACAAATAAACATGCATGTTAGGCTGATTGGTAACTCTAAATTGTCCCCATAGGTGTGAGTGAGAGAGTGAATGATTGTTTGTGTCCCTGTGATGGACTTGCAACCTGTCCATTGACTGCTGGATATGGGCACCAGTACCCCCACGTAACCCGAAAAGGAAGAAGCGATTAAATAATGGATGGATGGAATTAAATATTTATTAAAGCGTTACTAGATGATTATAAAATAGCCTGGACTTTTGGATATAAAATATTAAGAATGACTTGATGCTTCTTCTTTTTTTTTTTTTTTTACTTGATGCTTTTGCACACCTCTTTTTTTTATTATTATTATTATTCATTCAACCTTTATTTATACAGGTTAGTCTCATTGAGTCTCGAGGACTCATTTACAAGAGACACCTGTTCATATAAGAGACCTGTTTATTATAACTTTAACTCTCTTGAAATTATACATCTTATACTACTTTCACCCACCACACAATAAGCAAGAACATAATGTAATAGTAAAAATCATTATGCCTAAAATAATAAAGGAAAAAACGTTTTCTTTGTAATTTACTCGGTGAAAAATGACAACATAATGATAAGTGAATATGATTTATTCACTGTTCTAAATAGTACGATTCATCTGTATTTTCCTGGTGAAAAGAGTTTCCAAAGAAATTAGATAACTTTGGTAGGACACGTAAACACACGGTGTCAGAAGAAGAACGCACACAAAGGAATGAGTGTTTCCCGGAATGTGGCGGAATGTTTTAGCTGACGGACACCGGACAACTAGCTTGTAATCGGCCGTTTGAAACTAAACGATTTTGATTCTAACCTTGTCCGTCTCGCCGCTAAACGTCTCATTTTCGGCTTTAATTGTTTTCCTTGTAGACTGAAAGTTGAAATTTTAGTGGTGAATATGGGAGTGCCGAAGTTTTACCGATGGATTTCAGAGCGCTATCCTTGTCTCAGTGAAGTGGTGAAGGAACATAAGGTAGGAAACCGTTCAGTTTCGTTTACTGTATTTCACCTAGCATTAGCATCATAGCTAGCTGTTGGCTAATAACGAGCAACAACGGACAGATATAAAAACCTCACTCCACGTAACTACTCAATGTTTGATAGTGAATAGAGACCTAGTATTTTACCAAATGCATCCTAGTTCATGAAATATTGAAACATAATACAGACACAAGGTCATTAGCAAAATTAATACACAAAACTAGCATGCTAAAATTGTATTTTTGTAATCGTTTTACTTATAAAATCATCGTGAATAATAAATATTTTTATAATAATATAATATATTTTATTATTTATAATAATAATAAATATGTTGTAATTTGGATCTTTGTTGGATAAGAACATTTCTACAAACAATAACCCTAAAACCAGCTGGCACGAAATTTTTAGACAAAACAGACAGTTGCCAGCTGGACAGTATAGATAATCACAAGTTACAATTTATCACGATTATGCGAAGTTCTACACATACTGCTCTTTTACTTTACTTTTTGACACTACTTTAGTGATCTGGTGTAGTATTGCAGTCCTTAAGCCATAGTTTCATCAGACGGATGTTTGGTGTCCCACTCTTTACATTACACAGTTTTGAGGGCAAAAACATCAAAAAGTCTTATATTAGCTTGGCAACTTTATATTGGACTTTGAACCCGAAGGCCAGCATTGCAATTTTCTCATCAAAATTATTGGTTAGTTTAGATAAGCACATTTAAATATTTTTGGTAACTTACCATACCATTTTATTTATAGAGCACTTTAAACAGCGACAAGGCCAACCAAAGTGCTGTACAGACAGAAACAAACGGGTAAAGCACACAGCAACACATAACATAACGTAAAATCAATATATAAAAACAAAATAATAGCAGATAATAACGGATTAACACAGTGTGATGCATTCAGGTTCAGCAACAGATCATACATTGTTGAAAGCCAGGGAATAGTAGTAGGTTTTTAAACTTAAGCAAATTACCACAGTAAGTATCTAGATATATGCTAAACAGTGAAAGTTAAGACCAGAAGAATACTTCAAGGTTCTCTATTGTCATTAGTATCACATGTGGTACATGAGGTGGAACGAAATTGTGTACACAGGGTCCCAGTTACACACATAAATATCAAAAATATAAAGTATAAAAAAAAGTAACCGTATTTAAGGATCTAAGATATACGCTAAAATAATAATGCAATATAATACAGTGTATTAAACAGCAGCCTGAACATTAATTCTTATTGTTCACAGAAGAGTGATGTAATATGTTCTTTCTTCCTTCAGATTCCAGAGTTTGACAATCTGTATCTGGACATGAATGGCATCATCCACCAGTGCTCTCACCCGAATGATGAAGATGTCCACTTTCGGATCTCAGAGGAAAAGATTTTTGCTGATATCTTTCATTACCTGGAGGTGCTCTTCAGGATCATCAAGCCACGCAAGGTCTTCTTCATGGCTGTAGACGGCGTGGCGCCAAGGGCTAAGATGAACCAGCAGCGAGGTCGAAGGTTCAGGTAAAGATGGGAAGAGATGAGAATAATGCCAATTTTCTGGTTGTAAATGTATATATTTTATAATTTGGAGGCAATACTTTTTTTATCATTTAACATTATTTTATGATATAATTAATTTTAAACTTGCATACCAAATGTTTACAAGACATACTTCCTTTTATACTGAGAGAAAATTTAATACATTTATTCAAGTTATCATACATTTTCTATATTTATTCACATGCTCATACCAAAATGCTGAATCAAACTACATACAATGCAATATATATATATTTTTTTAAATAATGTATCAACTATGTTTACAAGTGTTGTTTATTGATTTTTTTAATAAATAGTATATGCATTGCCTAAAAAATCAAAACAAGCTCTACATGGAGTGAAATTTTGAAAGGCAATATTTTCTTTTCTGGTTGCAAAGACCAGGCCACTGACCACCTCTGTTTTCTGTTTGTGTAGATCCGCCAAAGAAGCAGAGGATAAGATAAAGAAAGCCTTGGAGAAAGGAGAGGTGCTTCCTACAGAAGCTCGCTTTGACTCCAACTGTATCACACCTGGTAGGGTTATTTGAAAGCTCTACTCCGTATTCATTTTGTATACAAAAGTTTATGACCAATCTTTAAACGTGAGTGTTAGAGCTCTGTCTTTGACTTGAGAAAGAGTTCTCTTAATCGTATTCTTGTTGGTTCTTTGTTAATTTTGCCAGAATAAAAAAAAATAAACAACTTAAACAGACAAACCCCAACAGAACACTAACAATTAGGGCTGGGTACCTTTCTAAAAAAAAAAAACGGTATCGGTGTCGGTACCTTCACTTCGGTGCCGGTTCCTGGACGGTTCTTTTTTCGGTATCAATTTTGTAATTACTATTAATTCTAACAAGAATAAAAGCTGAAACCACGTAACACGTTACAGCCAATACCGAAACTTGACACCGAAAGAAGAATGACGTTTCAATACATACACCGACCGGTGCAGTTCGGTCGGTGCCATAAAAGAACCTCGGTTCGGTACTCAGCCCTAATAACAATTAACATGATTGTTTTTGTGGTGACTTGATTTATTAAGTTCACTTTAATTTTTAAAAGTTAGTAAATTTAGATGTTTTCCTGCCTGGATATATTTGCTGACAATCAGACATAAACAAGTTTGTCTTGAAAAGCATCTGCAGCTCTTTTTATCACACACCTTCTTCCAGGCACTGACTTCATGGCGAGACTACAGGAGCAGCTCAAGTACTTTGTTCACAGCAAGCTCTCCACAGACAAGTTGTGGCAGAATGTCAAAGTCTACTTGTCTGGTCACGAGGTGGGTTTCATCAGGAGCATTCACTTTTCATGACTATTTGGGAAGTGCAAGAGTCAGTGATGGCTTAAGGAAACTTCTTGCATTATTTTCATCTTTTCTTTTTTACCTAAAGACACCAGGCGAAGGAGAACACAAGATCATGGAGTTTATTCGTTCAGAAAACGCCAAACCTAATCATGATCCCAACACACGACACTGCCTGTATGGCCTGGATGCTGACCTGGTATGGTTTACTGTCAGTCTGTAAAGATGAGGATTTACATTATTACTTTAATCCTCTCTGAATGTATACTCTGTCTTATACTGTGCTGTAGATTATGTTGGGTCTAACGAGCCACGAGCCAAATTTCTCTCTGCTCAGAGAAGAAGTCCGATTTGTGAAGAAATCCCAAAAAAGGTTCTTTGTTCCTCTGTTATTTTTGTCATTGTATATTTATATATATTTTTATGTCATTCTCTGTATTTTATGGGTTTTCTGTAGTTTAAACTAAGCTTCTTCTCACACCCTGTCTATAGGATAACCGCTCCAGAGGAGACAACTTTTCACCTGCTTCACTTGTCTCTGATGAGAGAGTACATAGACTATGAGTTCTCAGAGCTAAAAGTGAGACATGCTGACACAAAAACATATTTATAAGTTACATTTACATGAACTACAATATTCTAGTTAACAGAAGACCTTACTATGAATAAAATATAATTTTCTCATTATTTCAGCTTGTAATAATTCATATTACAAGTTACCATATTTTCCGCCGTACACGTTACTCGGCCCTTTAAGTTCCATCAGTCCATGTTTGTCTAATAAAGTGAAAAAAAACATAAATATGTCGCTTTGCTGTGTATGTTTCATCTGTTATGCGTCACCGCTGACAACCCGGAAATGTGGGCCGGTGTTGTGCCAAAAATCGATTGGCTGCCAAATAGTGGCTGCGGGAGCATGCACATGAGGACTTTAGCAAGAATTTAACAAGATTAACACTTAAAAACAAATATTTGTTTGCTCGAAATTACAGTAAAGGTGTGTCTCAGTCTAACTTTTCCTTAATAAATGCACTTTGACGGTCAAATCAGCTGCATTTTAAAAGTCGATATGCGGAAACATGAACATGCAGAGGGCGACTCACTGTGCATTTCTTCGAAATTTAATAATATAACCACCTAAAAACTATTATTTGTTTGTTCGACTTTAGGGTAAATGTGTCTCAGTTGAATTTTTACTTAATAAATGCACTTAAATGGTCAAATTAGCTGCATTTCGCCTGGGCGGCGCAGCGAAATGGGGCTGATTTGACGGACAAAGGTGGCTTGGTATGGCAAGCCAATTGTCATTAATAGCCACTTACCTATTACTTGACACAACGGCATGCCATACTACTCAAGTGCCATCTAGCAGATGAAAATGGTAGTGTTCGATATTTTCAGTCAGAATGAATGAAAAGGGTTGTATCTCAGCCAAAAATTGGTTTATAAATACGGGGGAAAAAATCCACAAATACTTCGCTTCAGCGTATAAGTCACAGAGCATGCAAATTATGCAAAAAAACTGACTTATTGGGTGAAAAATACGGTAGTAGTAACAAGTGAATAAAGCTACATGATCTCTGCTTAATTATATAAACTTTTGAACACTCATACCCTGCCAGGCCCTCCACACCGTCATGTTGCCACACACACTTGTGGCTTCATAATACAAAGTTTAGGCTCCAGCAGAATCGGTACATATCAGAAAAGTTAGGAGAAGAAAGATGGCTCATGATTTAGGCAAGCAAAACACAGAGTAACATATACTTCATGTTATGGTATGGCTGTGATAAAAAACTAGATGGACACGCCCATCATGATATAAGGAGAGGAAGCACAGACTTTGGTCATTATTCAAACTACGAAATCTATATTATCATGTTTACGGCTGTTTTTCAGAGTCGCATGGGTTCGGATTATGATCTGGAGCGAATAATAGATGACTGGATTCTGATGGGCTTCCTTGTAGGAAATGATTTCATCCCTCACCTCCCTCACCTTCACATTAATCATGATGCTTTGCCTCTGCTGTACAAGACTTACATCAGTGTGCTGCCAAGCCTGGGAGGTGAGACTCACACACACATGTGCAAATGCACATTTTATGACACGTTTTGGTTCATGTGAAAATGTTAGAATGGTTCTCCACAACTGTGTTGCTGGTTTCCAGTTCTGTCTGTTCTAGTGCACCTGGTCGAGCTATTTGTTTACATCCGCCATTGTACCATAATATATTCTGTTTCTATAAGTTACAGAAAAGGATTGAAACTGAATCCTCTTTTCTAACGTAGGTTATCTGAATGAGAACGGCCACTTAAACCTCAGAAACTTTGAGAAATACATGGAGAAACTTTCTGAGGTGAGTCACAGAACTTCACCAATTTTAGTTGGAAAACTTTAGTATTGTGAGTGATGCTGAGTGTGATTTAATTTTAACATCAACTACATTACAGATCTTTTGTTCAGCTGCACTTCATACATTGACCCTTTATTAAAAACTTATCTTATACTCATTTTGAGAAATGTCTTCCTTTTTCCTGCTCTGTATCCTTCTAGTTTGACCGGGAACATTTCAGCGAGGTGTTTGTCGACTTGAAGTGGTTTGAGAGTAAAATAGGTAACAAATACCTGAACGAGTCAGCCGGTCTGGCTGCTGAAGAGGAGGCTGGCAGCAAAACAAGTCGGGTAGGAAAGCAGCGATAAAAATTAACTTTCTTTGATAGTTGTCTGATTTTCAAACTGTGTTTCATGTAATTATTGACAAATGTTTTTATGAATGAAGGACTCTGCCCTGACCTCAGTTGAAAAAGTGACAGGAGATGGAAAAGGAGCGCTGGGAGGTGATGAGGAAGAGGAGGATGATTTGTTTGAAACTGAGTTCAGACAGTACAAACGCACATACTACATGACTAAGATGGGTGTGGATGTGGTATCTGAGTAAGTGTGTAGAACCTAACACACCACAAAGGTATCACTCTGGATTCAAAACAAAATGCCACAGAGCAAAATGAACTGAAAAGTATGTGTCAGAGGCAGCTGTGGTTTATAAACACAGCTGATTGCATCGCTAATATCTCACATTAACTGCACAGTCAGTGAAAACATGATCTGCAAGATACTTCAGTGAGTTGATGAACACATCAGTTGTACATTAAAAGAAGCCATTCTGTGCATGTGTGGATCAGATTAGCAGCTCTGACTTTGTGCTACATTTAAAGAAAACGTGAATCTTGTAAATCATCACAAATGCTAAGCTCATTATTTTAATAAAAGGAAAGAGTACCTTAGAACTTCTAAAACTTCATCCCAGGTCCCCTTTCTAACCAACGCTAAGCTGTGTTTTTATTCCACCTGTCTGCAGTGAGTTTCTAGCTGAGCAGGCCCAGTGCTACGTGGAAGGTATCCAGTGGATTCTTCACTACTATTATCATGGAGTTCAGTCCTGGAGCTGGTGAGTATTTTTTACTTCTTTCCTGCATTCTCAGTGATGTGGGATTATTTTATGTTGTTTCTAAAAAGGTTCCTCCTGTATGAGGATTAAAACTGTCCAAATAAATAAGTGGCTTAATAAATGAATGTGCTTGGGGAAAATTAGGTTGAGGAATTTTGTAATACAAAAAAAGGATTGGTACAAAACTTAGTAAATGTAAAATTGACAAAGTACAATATGAGTGAAAATATTACACTTGAAAATATTATTGCAGCTACAAATTTTAATAGAATTATCAACAAATGGAACATTTCATGGAACAATGATGGTTTAAAAATGTTTTTTAAATTATTCCAGCATTTGTTGGCACACTGTTTAATTTTTTGAGGCAACTTTTCTTTTCTGAATTTATTCTTAATTCTAGCAAGTTTCAGCGCTTCGTACAAACCAACGTAACTTTAGCAACAACCAAATCAGAGCAAAGCAAATAATAATTGAGCAGACTGAGGCATTGAAACGTTTATGTTTTGATTCTGAGATATAGATATGTCTCTTTTAATGCGCTTTTTAATTTGATCCATCTTGAGTATTGTGTGTGCATCTCTTCAGGTACTACCCATTCCACTATGCTCCATTTCTGTCTGACATCAGAAATGTGTCAGGATTAGAGCTGACCTTTGACCTTGGGAAGCCCTTTATGCCTTTCCAGCAGCTGTTGGCGGTCCTGCCGTCTGCCAGCCAGTCACTGCTGCCTGATTGCTACAGGGTAACAACTCGAGCATGCAAAGAATATGGATAGTTCAGTGTGTGATTGTGCACATGTAGTACAGAAATGGTGTCAATCAAACATGCAGATGTACTCATTTAGCATGTCCAACTTGTTACTTTTCTAAAATACAGAGGTAAAGATAATATTGATGGTAATTTATTACTTTTGATGTCTCAGGACTTGATGACCAGCACAAATTCTTCCATTATTGAGTACTATCCTGTCGATTTCAAAACTGATCTCAACGGCAAGCAGCAGGAGTGGGAAGCTGTGGTGCTCATTCCTTTTATAGACGAGGTACACACACTTGCGTACAACTGTTAGCAGACTAATGTTACACATTATGAACTCTTATGCGTGTGTGTTGTGTGTGTTAAACAGAGGTGCCTGCTAGCAGCCATGGAGCCCTTCAATCATAAGCTGACAAAGGAAGAGAAGGCCAGGAATCAGCATTCGGAGTGTGCCTTGTACTTGTATGACCCAGACATAGACTTCACATACACCTCCTCCCTGCCTCAGCTGTTTCCCAACATCTTCCACTGCCATGTCAGGTAGACACACACACACTGAGCTCTAGATTTATGTTTATCTCTGAGATATGTGTTTGGAAAGATTTTTCTGTTAGCCTTTAACTTAACAAAGATTATTGGTTGGTACAGGAAAGCAAACATCCCCATGGATGCTTGGAAAGTTCACTCGGACCACGTCAGCAAACGTGCTGACCGCTCAGCCCTCTACTTCTGTGGCTTCCCCACTTTACATCATATCAGACACAAGGTATGCTGGGTGCCTGTTTTCTGCCAAAGTGTAAATGTACTGATACGAACCATTTTTTTGTTTCAATTTTATGCTTTTCATATTCAATATAATTATCAAAAGATGATAATTTTCTTAACCAAATTTTAGAATAATGTGTGTGAATGTATTGATTTATTGTTACATTTGTTAAGCTATGTTTTCCTCTCTTTTTGACATTTGTTCTTGTTTTGCTGCTTCATTCACTGCACAGTTTTATAAGAAGAAAAATGGGGTGCTCATCTTCCAGCAGAGTAGTAGAGGAGAGAACATGATACTGGAAATTCTTCCCAGTCAGGAAGGAGAAACTGTGAGTATTTGCTGTGTACTTATCTTAAAAATCCTAAATACAAGTCATGCTGTAGTAATTCAGCTATTACTTCTTTTGAAAATACAAACCGGATTCCAAAAAAGTTGGGACACTAAACAAATTGTGAATAAAAACTGAATGCAATGATGTGGAGATGGCAAATGTCAATATTTTATTCGTAATATAACATAGATGACAGATCAAAAGTTTAATCCGAGTAAATGTAACATTTTAAAGGAAAAATATGTTGATCCAAAATTTCACAGTGTCAACAAATCCCAAAAAAGTTGGGACAAGTAGCAATAAGTAGCTGGAAAAAAGAAATTGAGCATATAACGAACAGCTGGAAGACCAATTAACACTAATTAGGTCAATTGACAACATGATTAGGTATAAAAAGAGCTTCTCAGAGTTTCAGTGTCTCTCAGAAGCCAAGATGGTAAGAGGATCACCAATTCCACCATTGTTGTGCAGAAAGATAGTGCAGCAATACCAGAATGATGTTACCCAGCGTAAAATAGCAAAGACTTTTAAGTTATCATCATCAACCGTGCATAACATCATCAAAAGTTTCAGAGAATCTGGAACAATCGCTGTGCGTAAGGGTCAAGGCCATAAAACTCTACTGGATGCTCGTGATCTCCGGACCCTTAAACGTCACTGCACCTCAAACAGGAATGCCACTGTCAAGGAAGTAACAGAATGGGCTCAGTTATACTTCCAGAAAGCATTGTCAGTGAACACAATCCACCGTGCCATCCGTCGTTGCCAGCTGAAACTCTACAGTGCAAAGAGGAAGGCATTTCTAAGCAAGCTCCACAAGCTCGGACGTTTGCACTGGGCCAGGGGTCATTTAAAATGGAGTGTGGCAAAATGGAAGACTGTTCTGTGGTCAGATGAGTCACAATTTGAAGTTCTTTATGGAACACTGGGACGCCATGTTATCCGGACCAGAGAGGACAAGGATAGCCCAAGTTGTTATCAACGCTTCGTTCAGAAGCCTGCATCACTGATGGTATGGGGTTGCATTAGCACTTGTGGCATGGGCAGCTTGCATGTCTGGAAAGGCACCATTAATGCAGAGAACTATGTTCAGGTTCTAGAACAACATATGCTCCCATCTAGACGTCATCTCTTTCAGGGAAGACCCTGCATTTTTCAACACGATAATGCCAGACCACATTCTGCAGCAATCACAACATCATGGCTACGTAGGAGAAGGATCCGGGTACTGAAATGGCCAGCCTGCAGTCCAGATCTTTCACCTATAGAGAACATTTGGCGCATCATAAAGAGGAAGGTGCCACAAAGAAGGCCCAAGACGATAGAACAGTTAGAGGCCTGTATTAGACATGAATGGGAGAGCATTCCTATTTCTAAACTTGAGAAACTGGTCTCCTCTGTCCCGAGACGTCTGTTGAGTCAGAGTCAGAGTTTCTTTATTGTCATTCGCACCTCATGTGGTACATGTGGTGGAGCGAAATTATGTACACAGGGTCCCAGTTACATCCAACAATAAAATGTATAAGAAAAACAGTAATAACATCCAAGATATGAACTAAGAAAAACATCAACTAAATATACACTAAGCACTCATAACATAAAACATTGAACATCACCACAAACATGAACATGAGTCTGTGAGCAGATGTGCACGCATGAACACATCAACATTGAAACAGATCAGCAGCAACATGAAACAGATCAGCAGCAACATGATATGGTTTTTCACAGTGATTATTCTAGTTAGATATTCATGAGTCTAACAGCCTCAGGGTAGAAGCTGTTCCTCAGTCTAGTGGTTCTACACTTAATGCTCCTTAACCTCCTTCCTGAGGGGAGTGGGGCAAAAAGTGTGTGTGCTGGGTGGGTGGGGTCCTTCATGATGCAGGTGGCCCTCTTCCTGCATCTGGAGGTGTAGATGTCTGTGATGGTGGGGAGACTGATTCCAACAGATTTCTGTGCAGCCTTCACCACTCTCTGCAAAGCTTTCCTTTCTGCAGCTGTGCAGCCTCCATGCCACACATTGATGCTCGAGCACAGGATGCTCTCCACTGCACACCTGTAGAAGGAGGTGAGGACTGAGCTTCCCAGACCAGCTCGCCTCAGCCGTCTGAGGAAGTAGAGTCTCTGATGAGCTTTCTTGATCAGGCTGGTGGTGTTGTTGCTCCAGCTGAGGTTGTCATTCATGTGTACACCCAAGTACTTGTAGCTGGAGACCACTTCCACCGCAGATCCTCTTATGTTCAGGGGGGTGTAGGTGTTTTTGTTCCTTCTGAAGTCCACAATCATCTCCTTTGTCTTCTTCACATTGATGTGAAGGTTATTCTCTCTGCACCAGCTCTCCAGGTGTTCCACCTCCTGCCTGTAGCTGGACTCATCATTGTTTGTGATGCATCCCACCACCGCTGTATCATCTGCAAACTTTACAATGTGACAGCCTGGATGGGTAGCTGCACAATCATATGTGAGCAGAGTAAACAGGAGGGGGCTCAACACACATCCCTGAGGAGAGCCAGTGCTGAGGGTTATGGTGGAGGAGGAGAGGTTGTGGATCCTCACTGACTGTGGTCTGTTTGTTAAAAAGTCTAGTACCCAGTTGCAGATGGAGGGGCTTAGTCCTAGTGTGGATAGTTTGTCCATCAGGGTTTGGGGGATCATGGTGTTGAAGGCGGATGTGAAGTCCACAAAGAGCATACGGACGTAAGAGTTTTTCTGCTCCAGGTGGTTGAGTGCAGTGTGGACCACAGAGGAGATTGCATCCTCTGTTGATCGGTTCTCACGGTATGCGTACTGATGAGGGTCCTCGTTGATGTTGATGGTTGTTTTGATGTGAGTCATGACCAGTTTTTCGAAGCATTTAGCGACTATCGGGGTGAGGGCCACTGGCCGATAGTCATTCAGACCAGTCACTGTAGAGCTTTTTGGGACTGGGATGATGGTGGCAGTCTTCAGGCAGGTGGGAACTGTCTCCAGGGTAAGTGAGGTGTTAAAGATGTCTGCCAGCACCTCACAGAGCTGATCAGCACATTCCTTCAACACTTTTCCGGGGATGTTGTCTGGACCAGTTGCTTTGTGCGGATTAATCCTCCTGAAGGTACTCCTTACTTCTGCTGAGGTCACGCTGAGATGCTCTTCATCCGGTGGTGAGGTGAGTCTGGTGCTGGGTGGTCTGTTCGGGTCTTCAAAGCGTGCGTAGAACTTGTTGAGGGCATCAGGCAGAGATGGGTCTTTGGGACATTGTTCACTCCTTCCTTTATAATCTGTTATGCACTTAATGCCCCTCCACATGCTCCGAGGGTCTTGTGAGATGAATTGACCCTCGATCCTCTTTGCATATGTGGCCTTGGCCCTCTTAATACCAGCAACCAGCTCTTTTCTTGTCCTACTCAGCTCCTCTGAGTTTCCAGACCTGAAGGCAGTGTTCCTGGCTTCCAGCAGGGTACGCACCTCTGCATTCAGCCAAGGTTTTCTGTTTGGGTAGCTTTTAACATTTCTGTTAGTGGAGACTGTGTCAGTACATGTACTAATGTAACCCAGTACTGAGGATGTGTATTGGTCAAGATCAAGCGAACCTCCATTTTCAGCAGCTTCTCTGAAAACCTGCCAGTCTGTTCGATCAAAACAATCTCTCAGTATGGGTCCACTGTCCTGGCTCCAACATTTAACTTTCTTTTGTACCGGTCTGGAGCGTCTCAGCGGGGGCATGTAAGCAGGAGCCAGGAAGATTGAGATGTGGTCTGACAGTCCTAGGTGGGGGCGGGGTTCGGCTTTGTATGCATCTTTTACGTTCGTGTAAACACGGTCCAGCGTGCGGTCTCCACGTGTCGGAATCGTCACATGCTGATTAAAGCTTGGGAGACAGTCCTTTAGATTCACGTGGTTAAAGTCTCCGGCTACAACGTAAAGAGCCTCGGGGTGTTTGTTCTGCAGCGAGCTGATGATATCATGAAGCTCCTGCAGTGATTCATTAGCATTAGCGTCCGGAGGAATGTAAACAACTGTGATAAAAGTCACTGTGAACTCTCGGGGTAGATAATGTGGTCGACATTTCACTGTTATTTGCTCCAAAGCCTTCGAGCATGAGCTATTTACAACAGTACAGTTCGTGGACCAACTTTTACTCACGTAAATGCACACTCCGCCCCCCCGTGATTTCCCCGTTAGCTCGCTGCAGCGGTCCGCTCGAAAAAAAAGTCTGTCATCCAGCTGGAAGACTGAGTCCGGCGTTTCACTTGTAATCCACGTTTCTGTGAGGCAAAGCACTGCACACTTCTTCATCTCTTCTGAGGCGCCCGCTCTCAGACGAAGTAAATCCACCTTGTTGTCCAACGAGCGGACATTCGACAGAAAGAGAGACGGCATGGGGAGTTTACCGGCTTTAGCGTTAGCTCGTAGCCTCACCATAACCCCCGCCCGGCATCCTCTCCTCTTAAGCCGGGAGCAGCGCTTCCTCTTCTGCCCGCTGGAACGCCTCTGCTGCAGCTTCCAGGTAGATGACTTTAAGATCTGCATTCTGCCGAGCGTAGCTTTGAGTTTGTTGCTGATTTCTGCTATATTTCGTGGCAAATCCGCTCCTATTCTCATCAGTTCGGTTCGGCTATAGTTCACACGCATAAATCGCGCAGAGTCAGGCACAGAGTCAATATCAAAACTTCTAAAAACTGGGATGGTACCGGGAGCCTGTGAAGCTGCAACTGCTCTGAGCGCGGCCATCTTGGATCTTTTTTTGAGTGTTGTAAGAAGAAGGGGGGATGCCACACAGTGGTAAAAATGGACTTGTCCAAACTTTTTTGGGGATTTGTTGACGCCATGAAATTTGGAAACAACAGATTTTTCCTTTAAAATGATACATTCTCTCAGTTTAAACTTTTGATCTGTGATTTGTGTTCTATTCTGAATAAAATATTAGATGTTGGCACCTCCACATCATTGTATTCAGTTTTTATTCACAATTTGTTTAGTGTCCCAACTTTTTTGGAATCCGGTTTGTACTATAAAGCTCCAAACACACAAACCATCAGATCATTTTAGCTGACAGGAAGAGGGACTGTAGATAGAATCAGCTGTCATTTGTTTGCACATAATGTATAGTAACTGAAACGGTCCTGCAGCACTGGGCAACGAAAAACAACAAAAATTGGTCATTTGGATTTTTTAAATTAAACAAAGCCCATATAACATTCTCTGAGCTGCATTTAATTAAATAAAAAAATAATAATCATGCATCTGAAATACAAACATTTATATTTGAAAGCTCTAAATGTCAGAGATTTGCACTTTGTCTTTGTTTTATTTGTTAGTCTCTCCTTAGCTGAGAGAAATGTTGTCATTCTTTGGTGTTGTCATTTCATCTTTAACTTTGTCTGAATCTGTTCTCCCTGTGTTTTCATCCTTTCTCCAGATCTGTGATGATGTTGCTGCACAAGTGTTGGGGAAGTCTGTGTTTGTCAACTGGCCCCATCTAGAGGAAGCTCGCATTGTTGCTGTTTCAGATGGAGAAACCAAGTAAGAAATATGAGACACGTGACCAGAATCATATATTACATAGGAAGATAATAGAAATTAGAAACATGTAGAATTGCTATGTGTTGATCATCAATCATTCCAGATGTGGTTTTTAAAGTTTCACACACCAAATGTTCAGTCGTTGTTTGTGTTGTTTGTATAAATCAAGATTTATTATACCAACCCAGACTTTGTAATCCTTCTTTTAGATTTACTTTAGACGAACCTCCAGGAGTCCAGCGAGTGTACGACAGGCCGTCCACTCCTACTCCCACTAAAGTCTCCTTTTTGACTGACAAGGAGCAAAAAGACTGGGTGAAGGATGTCCAGGGGATCACTGAACAGTAAGATGCACTAAACAAACATACTATTAATTAAAATATTTCCATAAATCGTTATGGTTTGGAGACAGTGACATTGACAAAAAGACAAGAGAGAACTGGAAATGACAGAAATGAAGATGTTGAGGTTCTCGTTTGGAGTGACATGGATGGATAAGATTAGGAATGAGATCATCAGAGGTACAGCACAGGTTGAACAACTGGGAGAGAGGCCAGACAGAGATGGTTTGGACATGTCCAGAGGAGGGACAGTGGGTATATTGGTAGAAGGATGTTAGAAATGCAGCTGCCAGGAAAAAAGAAGTGGATGATGTTGTTTATGAAACTCAATTTAATGTCTGATATTTGCAAACGGTTTAGATTTGTTTAAGCATTTCTTTTGTTAATTTTCTCAGTTTCTTGAAGAGAAAAGGCATCGTAGTGAATGAGACCGACGTGCTTCTGTACGGCCAAATGCTGACAGGACGAAAGTACATCCCTAAAGCAAATGGGGCGGTGGAACTGGAGAAACAGTGGGCCAAACAGGTTCTCCCATTTGCATACCAGACTGTGGTGAAGGTACTTGTTTGCAATTACATTTAAAGAGTACGCAAAATCAGGTCCTGACGGCAATACAGCTTCCCTCATCATAATTAAAACACGAGCGTTTCCTCCGATTCTTTCAGGACATCAAGGCCTTTTACTCATCTCTGACCAGCTTTAGGAGCCTCGACGAGCTCTTCCCTCCAGCAACCACAGTCTTCATGGTGGGAACACCTTACTATGGCTCTATGGGAGAGGTACGTCATCAGTTCTCAAGAGATCTGCTTTCTGATCTGCTGCTTTGTTTCTCAAAACGTTGACTCTCACATGAGAGCTGCTGTGGACGCACGGTTAGGCTTTTATAAAATTCTCTTTACGTTTAGCATGTTTTAGCTTAAGAAGTCTATGTGTATATGTTAAACTGAAAAGAGTTGTGTTAATGCTAATTTGGTTGTATTGTACAAATTAATAACCACTTATAATGATTCTTTTGTAACAGGTTCAAGATTCTCAAGATGTCATTAAAGACGGCCGGGTCAGAGTGGTGTTCAGTGTGCCTCATGAGCCACAGCTGGATCACCTAATCCTCAATCAAGATGTAAGACACTCCTGTAAAGATATTTAGTAGACGTGTTTCATCTTGAGAGCCGCCATCCATCCTCTCTGTTCTGCTGGATTTTACAGAAATACTCTGTCAGGTACTGTCCCAGCTACAACCTGGCTTCTCATCTCGGCATCAGCAGCTATCTCGTCTCTCGCTTCTCGGGCAGCATCTTTATCGGCAGAGGGTCCAAAAGGAAGTATGTCTGATGCTGATTTTTTTTCTCCTAAAAATGTATAATATATACTCTTTTCTAATCTAAGTTTTGTTCTTCTACACATTCTCAAGTCCCTGTGGAGAGCAAAGGACTAACATTGGTCTGAACCTGAAGTTCAACAAGAAGAATGAGGAGGTTCCCGGGTACACCAAGAGAACTGAAAAAGAGTGGCTGTACTCTGCTGCTGTTGAAGAGCTGCTCGATGAATACCTGCACAGGTAAAAATCATGTTTTGTTCATGTCTAAATGTGTGGAAAACTAAAAGAACACAAATGATGCCACTGTTTGTTGTTTCTGTAGATTTCCTGAAGTATTTAACTCCGTGTCCAGAAACTCTCATGATGATGTTTTTTATGAGGATGACATCTGGCCCAGAGAGGATCAGAACGGGTAAGACCAACAAAACTGTTTGACCAGACACCCCCCCCCCCCCCCCCAAAAAAAAAAAAGATCCTTGATCTGTCTTTTTTTCCTGAGCCCTCCACTTCATCCACAGAAACCAGAATCTAATTGAAGTTCATGGAGAGATACTTTATTCCTTGAGCTTATCCTGGCTGGGATGTTTTGGTATAAAAATCACCTGGATTATGCAGGATACAGCTTGATGTGCAAAAGTTTTCTGGTTTTCTTTCTGTGTGAAGTTCACATTTTCTCCTCGTGTGCGTGGGTTTTCACTGTGCGCTTTGGTTTCCTCCCACAGTCCAACAACATGCAGCCTTCAGGCCTCCCTTGCAAAAGAGATCTGTGATCTCAGTGGGATTTGCCTGGTTAAATAAATAAGTGCACACCGACATGCCATATGGTGCCATGTAATGGAAAAGCACCAATAAACCTGAGTGGAAATGTAGAGCTGAAATGGATACATGCACATCAGTTCTTGAACACTCACCTGAATTTAATTCCCTCTTCTAAAGAGACGCACTTAACAATGAAATGTGCAATTTATGAGCCAGTCTAAACAAAAATGGCATTTCTAACTAGTTGTCTGTTTAAAGTCAGTCCTGAGTTCTAGATCAAACCTCTTGTTATCTGTCCACCCCACAGAGCAGAGAAGGTGGCTGAAATCACCTCATGGTTGAAAAGTCACCCAGTCAGCTACTCCAGCAGGGTGTCATGTGACCTCCAGGTGCTAGATGGTGTCCTCGTGGAGAAGATCGAGGAAGCGGTGGATCGGTCCAAGGTGACAGAATCATTTCCAGCCTCAAATGGTTGCACATTTCCTCCAACGTGATACCATCTGTCTCACTCTGCCCTCAGGTGAAGAAGAGCTCCAAGAAAGTCCGTGTGACGGTGAAGCCTCATCTCCTCTTCAGGGTCTGTACATGTAAACCAGCAGCAACTAAATGTGTGGTGTGTCCACTGATTGTCACAGTGAGATTCAGATGAATTATAGTTTTACTGAGTAATGTAATGATCGTGTTGTGCTATGAAGCAGGATTAGAGGTTTAGTCAGTTCACTTCAGGTTCAGTTTAGATATTTTTCAATGTCATGAAGCTGGTTCACCTTTTCTTGTCTTAACTGCAGCGGCTTCTTCTGAAAATCTAATCTGCTCTGAAGCAGGATACATTTCTGGATTATACATGTCAACACACCACTTCTTCATCAGTCACTATCCTTAAAATAAGAAAATCGCTGATGTGTCTTTTTTTCTCTCCCTGAGTTCCACCGTTTTAGAAACAGCTTTATGAGAGATCTCTGCAGAACCGACCACTAAACATTGCAAAAAACAAGATTATCACTCTAAAGTTTATTCCTAGTAAATCTTTTTAAGAGGACTATTTTCTTTTAAATAAACACTTTAAACAATAAAACGTTTTCTGCTAATCACAAAACATTAGAGCATCTGAGGAAAGAGTACAGTTATTCACTTTTCTGTCTGTCTGTACAGTTGATTTAAAATAGGGATGCACGATATTGGATTTTTTGGCCGATATCCGATACCAATATTTTTAAATATACTTTCCTTTGTCAGAACATTTCCCTCTTATTTAGGCTTATTTACTACAAAAATTGTGCAACAGCTGTAAGAGCGGGTGATATATATTCAGTAACAGCCATATGATATGCATAACACTAACTTGTATTAAATGAAAAGTGTTAAATGTTATGTATTAGCGTTAGTCACCTCTGATGCTGTCTCACTTGTGGAGGTTTGTTGCAGGTTCCTAGCTGCAGTGTGGGATCCTCTGCACTCCTGTGCATGAAGGACCAACTTTTTAAGTTCAAAGTTTTTGTCTATCCATTGTGCCGTAAAACTAATCATGCTAACGGGGCTAACACGACGTCCAAATGTCTGTGGTAAAACTCACCCAAGTGCTATCGGCTGTTAGCTTCTCAATGACGTCAGAAATGACGGCTTGTAACTCGGGTAACGTTATGGCGGAAAAATATCTTTGCCTTAGGACGATGTAGCGAGGCTCAACGTAGTCCAAAAATCTTCGCAATCCAACATCCTCAATGAAAATAAAAACCTTCCACACCGCCGCCATTTTGACTTCTTCCTCTCCACCGTGAGATCAGGTAGGCGTGTGTGACGTCGTCACGTTGTGCAGCCGCTGCATCCTTGTCACTGGGTTGTCATACAAAAACAGCGCCTTTAATATCTGTGAGCTATTTTGATGATGTCCGATATTTAACTTTAACGCTAATATCAACCGATACCATGCCGATAATATCGTGCATCCCTAATTTAAAACCTGGTGAAAATCATGGGGTAACATTTTTTAATGCATCATTTGAAAACTGTTTGACAGAAAAATAACCAAGCAGACTGTAGACTGAAAGGTTTGTTTCTTCCTTATTTACTGCAGAGTTTCTTTTAAACTGTACAAGACAAAATATTAAAACTTTTTAGCCTTAAAAGGGGGCATGACTAAATTAAAAGTGTTCATAGTGCTATGGTTTGATCAGCTTGAGCTCAGGATGTGGCAGTGAAACTGTTAGGCTTATTAATTATTACATTTTTGGCTTAAAGTTGGTTTTATTTTCTTCCCTTTGCTTTGTCTTTTTTTGTTTGTTTTGTTTTTAGAACCGAGCCAGGTTTGCTTTTGTCCTAATCTGAATTTAAAGACACCCAAAGACACCAATGTTTAAGTACTTTTCAAATTAGACACCTTGCTTTTGTAACTCCAACATAGTTTTAAATTTGCTGTCCAGTCGTTTTTTTCCAGGAAACAGCCATTTGTGAAGGAAAACTGAGAGAGACTTGATGGTCACTGAAGAATGTGTAGGATTAAAGTGTGCGTTTGTTTGCAGCCTCTGGAGCAGCAGCAGGGGGTGGTTGCAGACCCCGACGCACAGTATCGTCTGTTTGACAGAGTCGTCAACATCAGGGAGAGTTTCACGGTCCCGCTGGGACTCAGGGGGACAATCATTGGCATAAAAGGAGGTGAGAACTGTTACGTTTATGTGATTTCTTTAATATGTTAAAAAAAAAATTAAAGCTAGATGTAAGTGTAACGTTTAACAGAAGTATTTAATTTAATGTCTGTGTTATCAGCGGAGCGGGAAGCAGAAGTTTTGTATGAAGTGCTGTTTGACGAGGAGTTTGTTGGCGGTCTTAACATCAGGTAATTGTCTCTGCACTTATCCTGATGCTGGAGCATCACCATTACATCGTTTTAATCACCTATTTCAGTAAATATTTTCTACCAGCTGGATTCTGAATGTCCTGCAGATGACCAAGGATCTGAAATAGGGTTTCAATATGCTGGTTGCCAACATTATTTATCATTTTAAACCAATTATAAGCAGAAAGAATAAGCCATGATCTCATGCTGCCTCATGGTTGGTCTTAGTAACGTTATGAGCAGATCTTTGCTTCGCACCATCAAAGAGTCTTTGGTTTTGTATCACTAGTATTTTTCAGGCCTCAAGCAGGGTTTTTAGCAAACAGGATGAAGAAGAGCGTTTCTAATTCAAACCCTGACTAAACTAGCTCGTTTGTTTAAACTGTGGTTTCCATGGCTCTGCTGTCACATGATTGTGAGACAAGTAAAACTGTCTCGTGTTAAAACATCTGCACATGTGGCCTGTGTGTCTTTTCAGGTGTGCATCCTTTCGTGGTTACCGCGTCCCGCCCTGTGCTCTGATCAACCTTTCCCACGGAGCTCGAATCGATCCCACATTCCACAAACTCACCGCCGTCGTCAAACCCCAACCTGCCACCGGCAGCAGCTTTAACGCTCGTCAGCTGACAGGCCTCAACCACTCGCCACGCTCACCATTTATACCCATGCAGGTAAGATGGGAAAACGCAGATGGCATAAGTTTTCATCGTACACCTTCTTTTGTCACTGCTCCTCCTCATTTTTTATTTGTAGCACAACAACAAGCATGCTATGGTGAAGGCTCAGGGCACCAGGAACTCTCCGTCTAAAGGTCCCAACCAGAAACAACAGACGAAGGTAAATTCATGATTACTACTCGAGCATTGTGCAGTGCAAGTGAAACAGTTGTGATGTTTTCTGTTTCATTAAGGCTAAGGATGAGTACAGTGATGTGTGGCAGTCGCTACAGAAGGCAGGCGCTCCCAACAAACCTCCTCCTCACTGGAACAGTAATGTGAGTTTTAGACAATAGCAGGCTTGGGTGACATAGATCCTCATTTTTAAAGTTATTGTGAGCTGTAGCCAAATTATAAACAGCAAAAATAAAATAAAATTCATTAGCTTTTTATTTTTAAATTTTAGGAAGGACATTTCCAACAGGGGAAGACACAAGTTAACAAAGAAGTGAGTACACAAGTTTTTCAGGAATTGTATGCATTTTTTTAGCAACAGTTTCTCACTTGAACCAAAAAAAAAAAAATCACTTTGTCTTAAAGGTTCAGCAACAGAGTGACACTTTTACGTGTGATGCATTTATTAAAATTCTTATTAACAGATAAGATAAATAAGATAACTGACTATAAATGAAAATCTATTATTCACAGAAAACAAATGCTACAGTAATTCTTCTCACATATCAAGTCAGTTTTCTAATGCATACAGTATTTTTTTTTATCCGCTTACAAGTAAAAGCCTGCTTTTAAATTGTAAAAAAAACAAAACTTTTCTAATCAATAATTTTTCAAGACTTTTTAAGGGAAAATTACATTTTAAGAAAATTAAACTAGATTAAAAAGGTTTAAAATAATGTGGTTGAATAAAAAAAAAGTTTAAATGAAATAACAAACAGGAAGAAGGATGAACGATGTGTATGAAGGTAAAAATGTTTAATATTGAGTAAATTTAAACTTTTAAATTGAGAGTTAACAAAGTAAATTAAATAAATAAAGACCTTGTGGGGTCAGCACAGTGAGAGACAGACACACATCTGAGCCGTGCGCTGTTTGTACCGACAGTTTTCGAGTGGCGGGGTGCGTTCAGCGTGAGGGTTCAGCATGAAGAAAGAGGCTGCCTTTAGCTTTTTAGCTAGTGCACCTGCATTGCGAGCCGCTAGTTTAGCGTTACGTCAGTGCAGACAAGTGGTTTGGGGTGGGGGGTTCTGTTGACGGGGCGGGGCGCCCGTTTGTATAATGGTAGGGGAAACACTGCCTTGTGGTGAGAACTTTCCATTTCAGAAAGTATTATGTGATTCAGTCATGACATGTACAATTAAAAAAAATAATAATAATGAAAATGGGAAAAAAATATAAAATTTTAAATTTCTATCCAATTTAGTTTGAATATAAATGCACATTTTGTTTTCATTGCTTGCATTTGTCTTTATTTTAGTGTGTTACACTGTATTATAGCACAGTATTAAAAAGTAATTCAAGCATCAAGCAGTTAGACATGTTGCCATTTTAATGACGGTACCTGCTAGTTTGATATTAGTGAATTTAAGAAGTGTGGGACTATTTTTGCACAGTTTAAAGGTTTCTGCTAGATGTGTTGTTAGGATGTGTGTAGGGTCATGCATGTGCTTTGTCACATGATGAGTCATGCTGGTTGGCATTTTTGCAGCCTCTTACAGTTGGTGTCATCAGCATTGTAAAGAAAAAGGAAGATGCCAACTTCTTTCTCCCTCATGTGACAATGCACATGTATGACATATTTAAATATTACATAACTTTGTGTATATATATATATATATATATATATATATATAAACAAAGTTTTTCATGCAGAATTTTGTATTTAAAACAATGTGCTATTTTCCTACTTCACTGCCTTTGTATTTTTCTTTGTCAGGGTACATCTGATTTTGAAGACCTTATTGCAAGTCTAACGATCTCCAAGGAAAGCCAGCAAACCGTACCACCACCCGCACCCTCAAAGGAACCCAACAGCCAGACAGATGGTCCATTGTCTCCACAGTCCTTTGCCATGGTGAGCATCGAAGAGACAGATTGGCTAAACTGAAAGGCTTCTTTTCTTCGGATCTTTATTTATAATACACCTGTCAAGGGTGCATATTATGGTATAATCTCTGTCTGTCTGTCTGTAATCTTTCTCTTGTCTGCCCAGGTCTTTGCTTGTCCTTGCTCATTGCTATAGATTGCTGTAAAATAGTTTGTCGACGGGTGTGTAATGTGCTGTATGAGAAGTGAGATAAATTGTACCAGAACTACCTGATAGAAAACCATCCTGAGGTTGTATGATGTGTGTATTTTGTGTGTTGCAGAAGGGAACTATGGTGCTGAAGGAGATGCTTAAGATTGACGGTGCTGGAAAAGAGTCCGAGTCAACAAACACGGCCCCTTTTACTGGCCAGCAGCAGAACAGAAGACGATCATCCAAGAAACTTGGTACTCAGATCACAATATTTACAAACCATCCATGTTTTTTAATGTTGTGTAGCTTCTCATCACACATTTTCTTTTTCTTTTTCAGCTGCCCAAATGAACGAGCCTCACAGTGAAGCCGTTCAATCAGCCTGTCCAGCACCGGCTGCCTCTGCCACCTCTGCTCTGACCAGTAAAGTGTCGGAGTTGGCCCGTGTCTGTGTAGGGCTGGGTATGACACCTCCTGACTTCAGCTTTGTGTGCAACAGGCAGGTAAGACCATTTTCAGTCATCTCCCTCCAATCGCTCGCTCTGTTCATAAACTACAACATAATATCAATTTGCACCAACTTGTGTCCCCTCAGGGTCTGGTGGTGTGTCAGGTGAAGCTGTCCAATGGATTAATGGTCCATGGTCCCCAGTGCCCGTCAGAAAGTGATGCCAAGGAGCGAGCTGCTTTCTTTGCACTGCAAAGACTGGTACACGCAGGATGTTTTATTTACAAATACTCTCATTCTTAAATTCATAAATATATTAATATTTTCCTATAAATTAAGTTAAATTTTGGTCTTTATTACTTAATTGTCATAAAATATTTACAATCGCTTTTAGCAAGAGGTTGAACATCTAATTTATTTAAATTTAAAGTTGGTTTAAATAATTTTGGTACTTGCAGAACTTGCATTTCTCAAGATCAAACTAAGAAAGAGCTGAGAGATAAAAGGTGTTACTGATGCATCCTACTTTTGTGCTCTTTCATTTGTAGACCTCATTAGGGTCAGGATTCCCCATTCCACCTCCCCTCTACGCAGGAATGGCTCAGATACAACCCCCACCTTTAGGAGCCATGACGCCCATCTTCAACCAACAAGGTCAGTGTGGTGCTCCTACAGACGGAGGCTCTAAAATAAGAGCAGTGAACGTTTTAACCTGAGCAGCTGTTTCCATGTCCAGAGACGAAACAAGCCGATACTTGGGAACATGAAAGAATAACTGCAGCGGCCTTGTTGCGTTTTGTTTCTCATGTTCAAACTCTGTGGTTACGATCCTTCTGATGGTACAGCCTGATATGCTTCTAATTTGTGACAGTTTTTTAAATTATATTAGATCACTTAAAGTGGGCTGCTGTAGCTTGATGGTCAGTGCCGTGGTCTTGTAATCCTGAGGTTGTGGGTTTGAGCCCAGGTTGTGTCAGGAAGGGCATCCGGCAAAAAACAAATGACCAAATCTTTCAATTGAGTTTGCCCGCTGTGGTGACCCCTGAAGAAGTGAGCAGCAGAAAGAAACTTAGTCCCTCGATTATCGCGGGAGTTACGTTCCAAACACCCCCGCGATGGGTGAAAAACTGCAAGTAGGAACGCTTTATTTATTTTAGTATTTATTTATATTTTAAGGCTTTATAAACCGTTCCCACACTCTTGCAATGTTCTAAAATCTTAAACCTGCATATCCATCCATTATCTTTACCCGCTTCTTCTTTTTTGGATTGTGGGGGTCACTGGTGCTCATGTCCAGCAATCACTGTTTGAGAGGTGGGGTACACCCTGGACAGGTCTCCAGTCCATCACAGAGACACATAGAGACATGCGAGACAAACAACCATTCACTCTCACTCACACCTAGAGACAATTTACAGTTACCAATCAGCCTAACATGCATGTTTTTGGTCTGTGGGAGGTGTAATTTTAACAAAATACGTATATACAGTATTGCAAAATTTTATATGGGTACTCACCAGCTTTGCAGACCAGCAGCTCGGTTCTGGTTCTGTAGACCTACCCTGCAGCGTGAAGCCCACCGCTCCATCCATGTTGATGTAGTGATGCAGGGACAGCTTTGCTGTAGCTTCACTACTAATTAATTATTCTTAAAGCTAGTTCAAGCACAAAGAATATTAATTATTTAAATACAACGGATTCTTTCTTTTTCGAGTTAAATTAATGCCATGTGACCGAGACAACTGTGAATGGATGTTTAATCAGTGACATGAGACGCCATTTTATCTTTGACCCATCAGAATAAATGTAGTCATTTATTTAACAGAATCAAAATTTAACATCAAGACATGTACACATTGATTTGCTGATCTGTTTCTGATTAATAAAAACTTGGCACGCTTTACTAACAGGACAACAGAACATTTCTGAAGGCATCTAGATTACTGGCGAATAAAAGTTTAAGGAAAGGAATAGAGAAGTTTAAAGATGGATGAAGGAAGATGTGTGTTTGTTGACCAGAATTAGCACTCTTCTTTCAACACCAGCTCAAACCCCCGGTCCGCTTAGTGCGCAACACTCGTGACGTCTCTTTACCTTTGCAGTGGATGGACAGCTCCAGTGTAGAGGTCCCTTTGCACGCTACCTTTACAGCGTCTCCGGTCAGGGTGGCTGGTCATCGTCAGAAGTCGTGTGGTTTTTACTCCGTTCAACAGAACAAGCTTCCTTCAAAGTTGTAAGGCGTTACGCCCGGGTGAGTTCACAGTGAGGCGCTGTGACTCCAGCTGGGATGGACGGACCCTTGTCTCACGGTCAAATCCATCAGCTATGGATTAAATCTGAAAGTTCCTTAGGAACTCTCAGGAAGACTCCATAGTCCCAAGAAAGACTCAGGAAAACTGAGTAAGACTCCAGGAAGACTGAAGAAGACTGAGTCCAAAGTTCCACTCAGAAGTGGAAGACTTCGGTGAAAGACTCTAGGAAGACTGAAGAGTTCCAGGAAGTGTTGACTTTTTAAAGAGTCTTCACTTCCGGTCAATTGGTACTTCCTGATTGGTTGAAACAACCAGCAGGGGGGTGGTTCTAGTGATGTCAGAGGGTTATTAGGAGTCAAAAAGACAGCAGGAATGTTTAGGAACGTTTAGTACAGACAGAAATGTTTTGAAGAAGTGAGAAACTTTGCAGGTGCTAGCTTCTTATTTACTGTCTGCTAGGTTTAAAAACAAGACACTTCGTTCTAATAACTTGCTTTCTGACTTTTGACCGACATCACTACTCCTCATTCAGACAGAAGATCAAAATGCACAATTACTTTGTAAATAGACATTTAAAATGATTTCTAAGTCTAATGAGGTTTAAAAATCATTAATACTGTTTCACAGTTGATTTAAATGAGTGGTTTACTTCAACATTAGAAATGATATGAACTAAACACACTTTGATTATCAAGATATTGTAAAATAGTTAATGATAATATAAAAAGGAAGAGTGTTCTTTCAATTGATTAATTCAGGATACAATTAAATAGTCTCTTGATGAGATCATTTGTATTTCTGGATTCAAATCAATGAAATAACAGTTCCTGTCCCATGAAGGTCTTCAGAGACAGGTTGAGGTCGGAGGCCTAGTTCACTACATTGATGTGCACGTGGATAATTGAGCTCCAGGAGGTTTCAGGATTATTTGTGACTTTCCTGTCACTTCTGTGAGCTTAATAGATCGATCGTTACTTCTGACTTTGTGTTGCAAAACTTTCCCTCCTTTTCAGCAGAAAGCAGCAACCAGAAGCACTGTTGGCTTCTGGGTAGTGTAGTTCTTTTGACCTGCCTTACAGTGTAGGCTTATTGAAAGAAAACTACAAAATGGCGGCACCTGTCCGAAGTATTTTTTTGTTAACTTTTCATCCTGTACCGTCCCACTCGTGAGTAATATTAAAGTTGTCAATCGTGTGTCGTGTACAATCTTACGTTGAAAAACTGTGAAAAAGCGAGTACGCAAAAGTCGAACCGCGAAATCTTTGCGGGTGCAGCGTGTGAAAACAAAAATGCAGTTTCCTCTTAGTTTTCTCTGTAGTTGTGTCACACAATGAGCAGCGCTGAGACGAAAATGAAAACACAGTTTGAATGATCTATTAGCAGTTTCATTTGAGTTCAAACATGCAGCTTTGACTTTGAAATGGAAAAGCGTTTCTGCTAATTCATTTTAATTTTCAAATTTGACATTTCAAAATGAATTTTGGTAACGTTTTACAGCGATAAATTTTGAAGATTAACTGTTAAACGTTATTTTATTTATCATTTTAATTGATTTACAAATTGAGCAGTCTTGGAGAAGAAAATGAAAATGCAATTTGGATTATTTATTTTTAATTTTATTTATGAGTCAAAACATGCAGCTTTATTTTGAAAATGAAAAGCATTTCTATTGATCCATTTTAATTTGAAAATTGAGACACATTAGATTATTTAAAGGAAACAAATGCACACTAAGCTCTCGTAGCTTGTAGTTTTTGCTTTAGTCCTAAAATCATAAACATTAAAAATGCTATCGATGTACTTGTATTTTTGTGTTCTTTTAATATACCTATTTTATGCACTTTTCCCTCCCCAGGTGGTATGTTGTTCCCCCCCCAGCGTTACGGTCCTCCACCTATTTGGGGAATGACTCTGCCTCCCCACCACCCCTCGAACCAGCCGTTCTACGGAGCAGCAGGAACCTTCCCAGGCGCTGCTCGCCCTCAGCCTGCAGCGAATCTGCCTGGTGGCTCACACAACCAGTTCGTCCCATTACAGGTGACCTGAACGCTGATTTGGCCTTTGAACCATTTTAATTTGAAATTTAATGCAGCGTCTCCTCTGACATTTCAGGTGACTAAGAAGCGTGTATCAGCCAACAAAAAGCACCAAGAAACTCGAGAGTTTTACAGCGCAGCCGGAACTGTTGCCAAGATCCAGTCCCAGAAGACCCAGGGCCAGAACTCGGGTCCATTCCAAGCTCAGAGTGAACCACAGAGCAACAGCTTCAATCAGCAGGAGCCCAACAACGGTCCTTCATCGTCCAGTCCCAGTCTAGCAGACGGCACTTCCGCAGCAGCAGCTCACACACCGCCTCGACAAGGCGTGCCCGCAGCAGGCCACGCCCCTGGCTCCGCCTCTAAGAGGAAGCACCGGAAGTTGGCTGTTAACTTTGAGGCAGCTAAAGTGTCACAGTGAGCCGGGCGGTGCCTGTGTATAAGTGTGTGTGAGTGTGTGTCGTGTTTTTCTTGGCTGCTGTTTTTTTAGCCTGACTCAGACTCTGATAAAAATCTCGTCAGTGTTTCTGAGAAGGAAGCAGTTACAGTCGAGTCAACAGAACGGGACTGTCCTTTTTTTAACCAAACACAAAAGTAACTTCTCCTACCATCTCAGTTTAATTCAGAGCGACGCCACTCTCACATCATCCACCATCCCTGACTGAAGAAGTGCTGCGCTCCCTCTGAGAGGCTTTAGGAAGCTACGGTGTGTTTGTGTCCACAGGCTGCAGTGCATTCTGGGATGCTTGTTTTTCATTCATTCTCAGGTTGCTACTGAGGTCTGATTCCTAAATCCTTCAAATCTAAACCCCAGTAAAGTCCAGCTCAGATTTACAAGATGCATTTTATATGTTTTGCCTGGATGTTATTTTAATCAATTTAGTTAAATAACTTTTTGAGTCAGCGCTGAAGTTCTTGAACACGAAAGTGCAGACAAGTATACTCGTATATATCTAGAAATGTGTAAAACATGAAACAAAACAAAGCCCTAATCTATTTTAATATTAAATCTGCGTGGTCATTTCTTGTTTGATTAATTTGTTGTTTTTAGTGAATAAAAATACCCAGAAAAGACTAAAAATTTGCAAAAAATTTTTAACGTTTCCAGTCTAGAAATTTATCGTCTTAATATTAAAAGATGAAGATTTAAAATGAGGAGGAAAGTATTTAAAAACAGAGTAAATGATTTTGTTATTTCACTTTGAGGACATCTTGTTTTCAACCAAGCTGTGAGCTACTTTGGTAAAGACGGTGATGTATCAATTTAAATATAAACCACGTTTTTCTTTTTATTGGTGGAAAATGTTGTTGCTTCAGAGGAGTTGACGTAAAAACAAAAAAAAGATAAACCAGTAGGTAAAGCTCATTCTTTAGTAAAGATTCAGTAAATACAGACGTTTGCCAGCATGTTGAGAGCAAACACTGAAGTCCGTTCTGGTTTCTGCAGAAACAAACGTGCATTATTTCAGCTGATCATTAAACATTTCTCAGTTCTTTGGTGGGGCTGTAGTTTTGTGCAGCCTAACGTGTCAGTTTGTGGAAACTCCCACCCTGCATGATGTAAAGCTGTGAGGGTTTCCACTCATCCTCGCTTCGACTGTCACAGAAGGCGCTCGTATCCGCCCTGCGTCGTGTTGCACAGTGCGGACGATCTGAACGTTTCAGAGAATCAACCAAAAAGGTCCCATTTAGATCTTGGTTCTCAGGAACCGCGGCAGAAGTCAGATTAGTTCTGCACTGACCAAATCCTCAACAAGACCCTCAACTCATTTTAATTTAATTTTTACTTGACTCTGCTTTAGTTAATTACACAAACCTTTAGTTTGGAGTGCACTTGGATAGAAAGAAACGATGTCAAAGCTGATTCGATGTTGGACCTTTGGATGTTGAGCCTGACTCCCAGCATTTTTAGATGTGTTATCGTTCGCACTGCCACGAGCCTACAAAAGGACAAAGTATTGAGAACATGACCACATGCAGATTGTTGAAGCATCTGCTTGGTTGACTTGGAACACATTGTCAGCTCTTTTGGACTCACAGGAATGATTTCACTGCTGTCTTCACTTTCCCCAAAGTGTTTTAGTAAAACTAGCTGCAACCAAGATGGAATCATTTATTGTTTATTAAACCTATTGGGAAGCCTCTGAGATTATGTCTAACATCTCCATTTTTTTTAATCCCAAAGATTTTTGTACCCTAAAAACCAGCAGATCACAGCGGAGTCTAAACTGGGACTTGAGTTTGTGGAGACACTGCAGGATGTCGAATATGATGACATCATTTTTTTGTGAACATAAGAGATTAAAAACAAATTAGGATTTTTATGTGTTTCTGAACAGTGGTTATAGCACATGAAGTATCATTTCTGAAGGTTTTATTTCACTTTTATACTTAGGAGCTAAGATTCTCGTCGCAGATCCTCCTGAGCTCCAGCAGTCCCAGAGTAACGGCAGCCTTTAATACGAAATGTATCTGATTTTTATGTTCTTGTGTTTTCTGAGACGCTTTTTAAAGCGTTTCCAGGTCTGGGTTGTCGCTCTCTAAAATGCTTCTAAATTACTTTTGCTTCCATCTTTATGTCATGATTTGATCACACACACATTTTGAGATTTAAAATGTTCTTTTTGTTAAACCATGGATTTTATAGCATCTGTTTTAGAAACAGTCTTGGGGTCTTTGATTAATACTCGGTGGTGACATTTTTGAGTACAACAGCTGAAGAAACGCGTTCACTTTGTATTTGACTTGTTTCTGCATGGTTTACTTTTGTGGGGAGGTTAAGTGTAAATCTTAACAGCAGCTCCATGATAAAAGGTGCAATAAGGGGAAGTTTTAAAGTCTTTTGAAAATGAAAGCACACTTCTTGTAAATGTGTTCTTTTTTTCTTTTCTTTTTTTTAGTTTTGAAAGAAAATATAAATTCTCAAAAGAATTTGATATCTTGATTTAAGATTTTTCTGTACATATCCATTTAATAAACACATTCTTTTGTTGAAATGTGTTTTTTCTCCTTTTCTTTTTAAATGACTTGGTGTTTTAGATGAAGGCAGTTTGATATTAGTCTAAAATTTGGTATAGCTGTATGAGGTGCCGTTTGTAAAGTTGTCAAAAATTAACAGCAATATTTTTGATTTATTAAGCGGATTTATTTTTATAAGAAAAAACTGGTTTTTTCAAAGTCATATTTTCCCCATGTTATTCAGACATTTATAAATGTCATAGTACCCAACTAAATATTTAACTTGCAAGCTAAATATTTAGTTTACAAACTAAATACTTACTAAATACTTGCAAGTTAAATATTTAGTGAACTATGTAGGTGTAAATTAAATACTTAATTCCCAAGCTAAATATTGTCCAAACTAATTGTTTAATTTCCAAACAAAACATTTAATTTCCAAAATAAATATTACATTTGCTAACTAAATATTTAGGTCCGAGCTAAATATTTACTTGGCAAATTAAATTTTTATTTTGGAAATTAAATGTTTAGCTTTAAAATTAAATGTTTGGCTTGTAAATTAAATATTTAGTTGAGCACTATGACATTTATAAATGTATGAATAACTTGGTGAAAATATGACTTTGAAAAATAAAAAACTTTACTTTTCTTATGAAAGGCTAAATAAACCAAAATATTGCTGTTAATTTTTGACAGTGTAACTTTACAAACAGCACCCCATACAGCCGATGATGATTTGTAACATTCTGAGCGTTGATTGACATCTTTGCCTTAAAATGTGCCAATTACTATTTAGACAACTCTGTTAGCAAAAAAACTCCTAAGGTTTTACTGAATCTTTCAGAAAATAACCAACAGCTATACAACAGAATTACTACTGGGGTTAATCCAATCAGGAGCCAACTGACCTTAGAGAAAAAATGGTTCAACTTTCAGCAAGTAATCATTAGATGTTCGCCTACAACTGATTAACTGTTAGCTGCAACAGCTAACTGATGTTAGCCAACATAATATTTACAACTTCCATCTGTTTTAAATACACAGAGTGGATTTGATGTGGTAGTAGCTGAGAGTCATTGTCACCACATGCTAGGCTTTTCACTCTGCGGCACATTTTGCAGCCAAAAGAAAACACTTCACTGGTTGGAAAGAAATTTTTAATTTTTGGGATGTATAGTTTGGACTAATTTAAAACATATTCACCTTAAATTCTACACTTTATTTCTTCAAATTATAGATTTATTGGAGCTCAGATTACAAAGACATTAAAAGGGGGACCACTTACAAAACACACACAAAGAGACACTTTATTTAGTGAGCACCAGTAAGTCAGTACATCCTTTTTGTTCTTTTTCTCAAGAAAGTCAAGTTTTGTTTGAACATTACATTTTTTTTAAGCAAACAAGAAGGAAAAAAAAATAAATCTAGCACTGAGAACATTTGAATCAAACCGTGATTAGAATAATCTTCTTTCAGTGCGCTTCATAAAAATCTGCGTCTACAAAAATAAAAAGGGATAATGACAAACGTATATGTACATGTCCGACTCGATACAGCTCTGCTCTACCACTGCAGTATAAATTATTTCAGTTCTAAGTCTAGTGCTGTGAAGCCGACGTGTTAATGGTGAAACTATTGTGACAATCAACACAAACAACTTGACGATTTTCAGTGATGTGAATAAAGCTGCTGGCTTCCTGCTGGAGGCGCCAAACTAGGACTGTGCACCTTAAATCAGTAGGAAGAACTTGTTTCCTGTAAAATATGAGCTCCAAACCTCAGGAACTCGATCTGAAACAGCTCGTGTAGAGACAAGAACTAACTGATAAATAGATGTGGACGAATGTGTGGCAAGAGTGTGAGCTGCCATCTTGCACCTGCGTTCAGGTGCGAACTAAACAAACGAGACAAAAACAATTCAAGAAAAACGTGTGTTCCTTTGTGCTTTATGTGCCTACATGTGTTCCTCAAACATGGATCAGTTTTCCACTTTCAACATGCCTGCATGTGTGTTTCTGTGTGTGTGACATGTCTCTTCAGGTCCTCCTTTGATGCGTGTTGCCCACATATGTGTTCTCTATGCACAGCACAATGTAGTGGTTGGAGCAGGAGCGAGCGTGTTGTCCCAGCAGTCGTCCCGTCTGCAGCAGAGAGGCCTGCCCCGTCACGGCCATGTCCGCCGTCCTCCACGCCTCGCAGTAGTTGGAGGTCAGACGGATGCCCACGGGGCTGGAGCCGTGCCAGATCACTTTCTCTGGCCTGCAGGAAGAGGTGGAGGAGCTCAGTGAACATGGCTGCGTGCATACTGACCTCACATGAGCCTCATCTCTTACCAAACAAAATAGAACACATAACTAAACATTATTTTACATCTTTGACCAGATTCAATTCTTCTGTGATCAGTATCTTGTTAGTATTTTATCTAGACTGACCCTGGGCTTTTTGATCTGCCCAGTGACGGATTATAATTAAATTATGACCCAGTTCTAACTGGTTTAAACGGGGCCAGCGACTCTTAAAAAAAAAAAAAAAAAAAAAAGAGTCCACAAGGATTCAATATCTGTCAAGGAATAGATTTTCATTTATTTATTTCTTTACTGGCTTGCCACATCACGTACAGACCCTTTCCAAAAAATTAGAATATCATGGAAAAGTTGTTTAACTTCCATAATCCCATTCAAAAAGTTCATCTTTAATAGATGATAGAGTCAGGGCCCACAATTTTTTGAAATCCTGTTTTCGTGGGTTTCATGAGCTGGAATCCCCAATTATGTCAAAATAAACAAATACTTGAAATTGTTTAAATTGTGGGCCCTGAATCTATCATCTATTAAATATTAACTTTTTGAATGGAATTATGGAAGTTAAACAACTTTTCCATGATATTCAAATTTTTTGGA